GAAACATGGCTGCCTATGCTGAGGCCCAACTGTCAAGCACAACAAAGTATGGTACAATGTATAAATAAAATAACATTTTCGGTACCTTCTATAAATTTTAACTTACCTGACATGCATCAGTTGGCCACACAAATATAAGATTAATATCAAATTCATCTGGCTTGCTGATTTTCAAATTTTCATATGAGCTTCCTGTATAACCCATATTCCTATACAGACATTTGAAAGTCTCATCAGTCTTCATTTGGTTAATAATACTTTCCAAAATCTGTCCCAAAATTAGATAAATTGAAGAAAAATATTGGATGTATTGCTATGATGAATCGTAATAAGTTCAAAAATGAATTCAATCATGAAAGTTTAGAAATGTAGAATATATTTTCCATACCTTCTCCAAATTATGCTTATATTTTTTTCTCTCACTTTCACTTAGTCTAATGCTTTCAGTGGTAACTTCATGCAATGGAAAATCAAACACATTGTATTTCTTTGAGCCACTCATGTTTCTAATATTCCTTTGCAATATTATAGCAAGTTCTGGAAATTTAATAAACAAAACAAAACTTTGTAATAATTTATTCACTAATCAAAGAGCTCCATTATCTAGGCTATGGATGGCAATAGAGAAACAAAATGTAAATAGACAATTGATTAGAGCCATTAAAAGATTTGTACAGTGATAATACATGTGAAATTAAAGTAGGGAGACACATTTCATTACCATTTCCAGAAAATAAAGGTTTATGACAAGGATGTTATGAAGCCCCGACTTTGTTTAAAATACATCTCAATGAAACTCTGAGAAGACAGAGGAAGAAATGTAGTAATACGGGTATTAAAATTGGTGACTTATGTTATTTTCTCTACACTTCGCAGATTATCATGAGGTGTTCGCTGAAGATGAAGACGATGCTCTATACATGCAGCGGAAATTATATGAAGAGTACTCAGAATGGGATTAAGACATAAACCTAAACAAGACCGAGTATATGATTGTAGGAGGAAGTGTTAAATGTCTGAAACTGGATGGTGGTTCAGAAGTAAAACTCTGTCAAAAATTCACTTTCATCGGTACAGAAATAAACGCAAACGGAGGCAGTACGCAAGATATTAGAAACAGGATTGCAAAACGTAGGGTGGCTATTAGACAATTACATCCACTGATATGGAAAGATAAATTAGGTAGGAGTGTAAAAAGAAAATTGGATATGACTGCAAAGAATAATATGGATTCAGAAACAGTAGAAGCACAAAGGATGCAATATTCACAGTACAAACTATATTAGACAAAAGAAATGAAAGAAACTTGCCAACATAAATGCTATTCATAGATTTTGAAAAGGCATATGATATGGTGAACAGGGTTAAACTGGAAAATATTAGAAGGAATACTAGAAGAAAACATCAATGGAATATAAACACTACATAGACTCAAAAATCACCATAAAAATGAATAATGGAACCATCTCAAAATCACTTCACATAGAGGACTGCTACAGGAATGTGGCGTATCACCCAACCTTTACAATATTTATGCCAACAGTTTCATCAAAGAATGGAAGAAGACAGTAAATCAAGGTATACAACTTAACAAAAAACCAACTATACAAACAGTCCTGTTTGATGATGACCAAATAATTTTGGCTGAATCAGAAGCAACTCCAAATAGCAACACATGAAGTGAATAAAATTGCAAAGACCTATGACATGAAAATCTCGACAAAAAACAAAAACAATGGTATTCCAAGGAAAGGAACTAAGAGGAGTGAAGATAGTCATTGAAGGGAAAATAATAGAGCAAGTACCAAGATTCAAGTATTTAAGCAAAAACAATA